TTTTTTTGCAACAATCAAGCTAGCCTTTTTGATGATTATGTTGTTCCAACTTGGCTCAAAAGCAGGCTGCAGTACTTCCTAAAGCATTTTCTCGATGCCCGACGCTGTCCAAGACGCGATTGCAAAGGCAAAGGCTCGAGCAGCCAAGGCAGCCTGTATCGCGTCAGAAGCTGAGAAAATTTTTTGGCTTCAATCGATCATACATGGACATTGTGGTGACACATTGAGGCCCCCTACACCATCGCCTAGATCTGGTGGTCAAGGCTAGCGCTCACTAAAGCCCATTTACTACTACCAAAACATATCAAACGAATCGTATTTGTCATATCCGCACACTCCTCAATCCAGAGAACCGTCCTTACACTAGTCGTTTTTGGCAGTCTGTTCATCCCGAATTATGTTTTTGGTATAGTTGTTGACCATTTGGCCAGGTGGCCTGTCAAGTATGGACTCGCAAGAGACTATCCCAGCTACTCCAAGGGCCCTCGAGAAATCCTTTCAAGAAGTCGCAGAGCTAAAGAGGAGATTGGATCTCGAGGACCAGGAGAGACATGAGGAGGATGTCAAAAGAGCCAAACGGGCACAACAGCCAGTTGCCACACCAGCCAGGAATGGTGGGGTAACAATTACCGAGGTGGCTCCTACGCTCCCTCAGTCTCAGGAATGGGAATGGGAAGGGCAGGATTGGGACAGTTGGGGTTGGGACAATACAAGGACTCACTCGTGGTATGACCAGTGGCAGTTTTTTCCCAACGACGGCAACAAGAAGAATCAATGGAACGTGAACACTAGTGATCAGTTCACATGGCACAATTCGGACACTTGGGAGTACTTTGCTGCCGAGGACTTGGACAATCTTGACAACTGGGAAAGCCAGCAATGACTTCAGCGACCCAACACCTTGGACAACCTGAAGCACTATGAGGCCTCACCTTTGTTGGACAGTGACGTGGAGATGATTTTGCCGCAAGATACGAAGGATGGTGGCGCGAAGGGCGACAGTCAGTTCTTCACCAACACAGGCGAGGCTCTAGCAGAGGCCCCAGAAAAGATGGATGGAGTTGCCGACAGGATGGAGGTCCAAGAGACACCTACCAAGGGGAACAAGGATGGCAAGAAGCCTGAGCCGAAGGATCAAGAGACACGGACAAGTGAACCTTCCGAGGAGAGCAACGATGGCACGAAGCCAAAGCCGAAGGACCAAGAGACACAGAAAAGTGACGCTTCCACCAAGGACAACAAGGATGACGCGAAGGCAGAACAGAAGGACCAAGAGAGACCGACAAGTGAACCTTCCGAGGAGAGCAAGAATGGCACAAAGCCAGAGCAGAAGGACCAAGAGACACCAACAAGTGAACCTTCCAAGGAGAGCAAGGATGGCACGAAGCCAGAGCAGAAGGATCAAGAGAAAACGACACATGAGGTTTCCGAGGAGAAGAAAGAGAATGGCAAAGAGCAGAAGCCAAAAGAGCCAAGTGAGGAGAAGAATCAAGATGGCAAAAAGCCAGAGAACGAGGGCTCAGAGAAAGCCTCAAAGGAGATTAAGAAGCTTGAGGAGATGGAGAGAAAAAGGAAAGCTGCCCATGCCAGGTACATGCGGTTCTTCCGATCCGTGCGAGATGGAGCTGACACGCCAAAGGCGATCAAGCGAATGGGCAACAAAGCCGTCGGCCGTTAGATCCTCAAAGTCTTTCAAACTCCTAGTGAAAAATTGTCTGCCTGACTCCGAGGCAAAGATCTCATGGACACCCTGTATGAGGCCTGGACAGAATGCGCTGGCAAATGGACCAAAAGCAACCTGTATTTGAACGCAGTGTCGAAGGACAAGTCCAAGCGTAGAGGCACTCGTAGGTGGATGATTTGGCCTGAGCTTGTCGAGCGCTACGGGGTGGCGGGAGCCACTGCCTTGGTGGAGCACAAACAAGCAGATGCAGAGAGAGCTGCTCGGGAGATTCGAGAGCATCCCGAAGCTCCCGGGTGTAAGGATCGAGCTGAACAGTCTGGATTAGTTTAATATGTGTCAAATTTGGATTTGTTGTTCTATAGTCTATATATAGTCATTTCGATAGTCGCTTCTAATGTATAGTCTGCATGGTCTTGCAGGAGCTCATCCAATACCTCGTCCTCGACACAGAAGTCGAAATCGAAGAGCACTCGGAGTCAATTTCGCAGTTGTACGCTGCTGCAGAAGATTCGGACTCTGGCAGTGACGCTGACTCTTCAGGTGACTCCGATTCGGGCTCCAGTGGATCGAAGGACACCCGACCGTGGTGTGAATTTAACATTCATGCGTGGGGATGTCGTTCCATGGTGAAGATTATAAATTTGGCTTTGTTGGGACTTAAGTTTGATAGCGCGCAGGACAAGAAGAAGCCCAAGTCCAAGAAGAAAGACAAGAAACGTAGTGGAAAGAAGACTAAAAAAAACAAGAAAGAGAAAAAAACAAAGAAGTCTGGAAAGAACAAGAAGAAGGGTGAAACGGAAAAGGACGACAAGGGCCAGGAAAATAAGGATCAGGAGCAGACTCAGACCAATGCAAAAGAAACTGCGAAGCAGGGTAAGAAGGTGGGCCCATGCATTTGCCATCATCCGTGTTGTTCCCCAATCGCCCAGCCTCCAAAGACTTCTCCCATCAGCGATGCCAGGCGATTGATGCTGCAGGGCGCAAGATCAAGGAGTCCGTGACAGTCCTTGGCCACGCAGAGAAGTTGCCAATCCCTCGGCCTCATCATACTTTCCCTCACCAGTACAGTAGCACTTCCAGAACCCTCCCCGGGCCCAGCTTTCCAAAAGAAAAATTATAGGTCTCTCACGCGAAACTCATCGACAGCTTTCTGAGGGGGGCCAACCTACGTACAGCTGTGATCAGTGACATCCAGGCCGTGTTATTTTTTGACTGCGCCGGATAGCTTAGCAAGACTACGATAGTAAATCTCGTTGATCAGATTTATTTAAAAACTCATGTCCGGGAAACAAGTATAAATCAACCTGCTGTATCCCCATTGCCCTCAGGCGGCTATTCTCGGCATGCAGGAAGCACGCGCAGCCTTGCAGAAATCCTTGGATGATGACAAGGCGAAGCAAGCCAGCGTGAAACGTGTCATATCACACATTAAACCGACATTCCACAACTAAATCAGTTGACGCTGAATACAAAATATATAATTTAGATCATATTCTTCGATCTAGAATATATCGAGCTTTACATTTTTTGTATCGTCGTCGATCCTCGGTTTTTGATTCGTTGGGCTTGGATGAGGTTGAGCTCATGGCGGATCAAACTAAGATCTTGAATTCCAAGATCGAGGAGTATGACCGATCAGCGAAGCCTGCAAAGCAGCAGGGTAAGAAGAAGGAACCAAAAGCCAAATGAGCTTACACTCTTTTCAAGTTTCGGGGCAAAGCATTTCAGCTTTGTGGTTTTGGGGTGTGCAAGCTTGCTGCCATAGACCGCTTGAGCCCTGTACTCATTGAATGAATGCTTTTACCACTTGAATCACGGTCAATGTGTAGTGTTAAACTGTACTTGCCATGAAATATATGTTCTCAAGTACTGTGTTTGGGGGTTTGTGGCTGGCAGCATTCTTGCCTGTGATGCAGCTCAGAGTCTTAGAACGATATAGATCAAAGCGGGCCCGCTGCCCACCAGATCATGGCCGGGTCGCTAGAAAGCAACAGCAAGTACAAGTCAAAAATGTGGGCCATGCATGCAAGAGTGCCTGCACTGTATTGTGTGAGATTCGCGCGCCATGTTTAATCTTAACATCAAATCTGCTGGTGATGCAAAGCAATCATGTGTTAAAAAATATTAAATCAACTGTAGTTTTTAGATCATATAGGAGTACGCTGGACACATCCGATCCTTCGCAGATTCGGACACTGACGCTGAGAAAGATGCCATCACGGTGGACATGATGAGCAGGATTGCCGAGCAGGCGTCGACATTCTTGCGCGAAGACTGTCGTAAACCCAAACAAATATACTGACCGGTAAATTTAATTTCAGCTTCGATTAGATCAACATGGCAGTTGGGGGAGGGGGAGCGAACCTTTGGAATGGGATTCAAGAGTTCCGCTTCAGCAGGTTTCAAGTTTCAACCTACATTGCTTGTGACTTCCCCTTGCAGGCCCAAAGCATCAATTCTGTTGTGGCTTCTGCGGCTGCGAGTTCCAAGGAGCCACCATGTGAGGTGCACAAACCTGGAAACCTGGACTAGTAGGCCGGTATACATGAAGTTTGATCCGTGTTATACGAACAGAATTGAGTTTGCAAGCCTACGTGACAGTGAGTTTGTTTTCCATGCTTCTGCAGCGCAGGAGTCTAGAGGTCACGTTTCTGAGATCGTCTCACACCTGGGCCGGGTCCGCCCTACGAATCGGGCACGGTCCTTTTGGAGGGCAGCGGCGTTACCTGTCGACTTGGACACTTTGCCAAAGCTTCATGATGTTTTAAACTAAGTTTCAAGTTGTTTGTTTACCCAGTTCTGCAATACCTGGACCTGCGTCCTGGCAAGTGAGGAGCCGGCCTGGATTGAAGTGCCTGTCATTGACCAGACTGACACAACACAAGCTACGACCATAAAGCTACCTTACCTCGAGCCGCACAAAGTCTTTGCGTACATGAACAACATTGTGAAGACCCCCAAGAGCCACCTAGATTTTTATTGGCAGTGGGGGAAGCACTTCAATTGTGGGTGGGCAAAGCATGGTGGCCCTGGTGTGATTCCATGTGGGATGCACGCCGACGAGGCTAAGTTCAGAGATGGACCGCCTCAAGAGAAGATTTTAGCAATCACCTTGAACTTCTGCTTGTTTAGGCCAGCGTCGGTCCGTCTCTCACGGTTCTTGATTTTCACTATTCGCAGCTGCTACAATCTCGGGCCATCGACCTTGTATCCTTTGTTCTGGAAGCTGGTGGAATCTTTTCATTATGCATTCGTTGGAAAGAATCCAGATGGATCTCAGCTTTGCAGTGATGGATCAAGATTTCTCATCACCGAGATGCGTGGTGACTTAGATTGGTTCAAGCAGTGCTGGCAGTTCGAGAAGCGGGGGTGGATGGCCATAGATTGCTGCTTTTTCTGCGACGCCAAGTCGAAGGGGCAAACCAATCCTTATTCCGAGTGCGGCGTTGAAGCTCAGTGGAACGAAACTGAGTTTACAGAAGCTTGGGATTGGGCAGCTCACGTCTTGCCTGATCGCTTGTGCGCCTGAGTTCGGTTACTGACAATTTTCAATGTTTCCCCTCGGCCCTGAATGATCGTCAGTTTGATACTAACTCATTTGCTCTGTGGGTGCGCAAGCCGTATCCCTGGTGACAGGCCCACTTCTTGCAACCCCTGGGTTCTCTGTGGACACAATTCGGCTGTGCAGTATGCACACCTTTTGTTTGGGCCTTCTGCAAACAGCAAATGGATCAAGCCTGACCTTTGCATCCAAATCGTTTAGCAGGTTTTCTGTTTCTGCACATTTGTTCAAAAGAAGTTTGGTTTATGTGACTCTTGAATTCTCCCTTGACACCCAACTTCTGGCAAAGGATCAACCTTATAGAGCACGGGTACTATGGGAATCCTGACGGGCCTTTGGACAAAAACCTCATTTGCCTGTACCAGGACTTCAAAGCATGGTGCAAGCTCCACAAGATTTACACGAGCCAGCGGCAGTTCTATCCTGGCTTGGACTCTCCTGCTTAGCAGCCAGTCCCTGTTTGCTGTTGTTCCAGGTTCTTTTTGATCATTGCGAGCTGGTTTGCTAAAAACATTAGGGGCAAATTTTGTGTGAGGTGATCAAATCGAACAACAATGTCACTATGACCCACAAAGCATACAATGGGCGTGTGCTGTGCGCCTACACGGCGGAGGCTTCGCGTCTTGCCTTAGAAGGGAGAGACCCCGAGGGCCTGAACAGATTGTTCGGTCAGTGGCGGAAAGCCAACAGGCATGCTGGCCAGCCGGATCCGAAGATGCCCCTGCAAGCTGCGACAATGCGCCTTCCTGTTAACCACAAAAAAGTTGTTTCATTTCAACCGGTCCGAGTTTGGTTGGTATCAGTACCATGGCGGCCTGCATTGGTTTGTGGGGACTCTTGTCTTGGAATAATGGGGACCTAGCTGGTGCAATTGTACCAGGTCAGCTGCTGAGAGGTGGTGTGGCCTGATTGAACGAGCCGGAAGGTACCTGCACCTCGCATTGTTTAGTGGAATGTTTGTGGGGGTCTTGGTCATGAGGTTTTCCACCTTACCCCTGATTTCTCTGGGCAAGTGAGGTCCCGGGAGGAAGCGCAAGACATTTATGATTCAGCGCAAGCTTTTTGCAAGGGGCATGTCATGCTCACTGCCATCCACATGAGGCGCAGCGTTCGTGGGTTGATTTTTTGGGGAACTATAGATGATTTTTTGGAAACTGTGAGCTAGCAGCTAGGGCCACCTTGGATTATTGTTTTCTGAGTTGGTCACTGAGTGCCAGTTTGTCAGGGAGCAGCGGGAAGCTCTAGCTCGCCGTGGCAAAATGATGCCATTGCAATGGATTTTGAAGCCCAAACTGCATACCTTTGATCACCAGAATATTTACCTCTTGCTCCACCGGATGAACCCCAGACATGTGCACATGTATACGGACGAGGATCAAATGAAATACGTCAAATCTTTGGCACTGAAGGCGCCCACTAATACCCTGGAGCCGCACCTTTTGAAAATTTCCAGGTTGCGCCTCAAGTTGGCAGCCAGGCGTATGGCTTTTTTGAATGCCACCAGTGCACGCAGGTCTCGCCGATGAATTGGCACAGAGATCTTGTTTCAGCTTGCGAGAAATAGTGGATGTTTGTGGGCCTGCAAGGGGGGTTGTATGTGTTCTCAGGGTAGTATATATCGAACGGCCTCAATATTTGTGGTTGTTAGGCAGCGGCCTCAATATTGGCAGCCTTTGGAAGGCTAGGGTATATATATATTCAAGCAAAGAGAAAGACATAGAAGCAGATATAGTAATTGAATAGAATATATTTGGTAGGTGTCCTTTTGCATAATGACTAATGACACATATGTAGAAGATCAATAGTTTACTTTTGGTACTTGAGGAGAAGAATATCAACATATGACTATATGTAAACTAACACATACATATAGAGTATTTGATAGTATTTGTTCAAAAGGACGATTGTGAAGTTAGTACTGGTACCAACGGTAATTAGAATCATATCATCATAACCCTTCGTTTGATCTTCCTTTCGGTATTGGGGATTTCCTCGGCCTTTAGTCCATTGAAAGCAAAGGAATTGATCGTTTTCCTCTCTTCGTAATTCGCTATCTCTTTTCCTTTTAATTCCATTGGCTTAGATATACATACTGTATATATTGCAGACAAATTGCAGCTGGGACTTCAATTCGATTGTGTAATATTCATGTTTATTAATTATTCCTCATTAAATGTACGAAAGTAATTTCTTATACCCTTGCATTTTTTGGGTTCTCTCTTTATCACATACCTTTCCATCCCCTGGAAATTCAGCCTTGCAATGGATGAAAGAACATCGCACGGATTCACCATAGATTCTGTATTCTATATCCTTTCATTGGATCATCATAGTCTATTGTGTTTTGGGCATTCATTCTGTTCACAAACCACAAGGACATGGATCGACTCCTTGAATCGCCACACCTCCACGCCCGGGTGCGTTCTCGGGCTCTCCGCCCATGGAGCCGGGCTGCTTCGGCTTCCGCTCGCGCCGCGCCCCGGTCTATGGAGCTCGGGGCATGGTCGCCACGAGCCAACCCTTGGCCAGCGAGGCCGAGACGCCGGACCGACGAAGCGACTGGCGACGACGCGGCGACGAAGCGTCGACGGGGACGGGGACCGAGACGTCGGGACCAACGCGTGATGGAACTCGTGATCGAATGTGGAATTTTTGGGTTTCCTCCAAGTCGGTGTGGTGTTTTTTTGCCAAAATCTTAGTGCTTGGAGTGCCGAAAAAGAAATCAGGGTTTCGATGACTTCGGTCCAAAAAAGGTTACTGCGAAACGTTGGGTTTCTGCGAAACGCCAGGTATTGGATTCACCATTGGATTCACAATTTTCCCCTCTCCAGGGCTGCGGGCTGCTCATTGCCGGCCCCAACCGCCGCTCCGCGAGGCCGGCTTGCGGCTGCTGCAGCAGGGAGGCAGCGCAGCGGATGCCTGCGTGGCTGCGGCCGCGGCGCTGAATGCCACCGAGCCATGCAACACGGGGCTCGGAGCGCGGACGTGGAGGGGGCGGAGCGGGTGGGACGTGGGTAGGTCCAGTGAAGGTGGGTAGGTCCAGTGAAGCATCGGGATGTTCTTCTGGTAGACTTGATGGACATCTTGGAGAGAGTGATAGAACTTGACTAGACTTCAAGGTGGACATCTTCAAGGTGGACGTAGGTTGGCATCTTTGTTGCGCACTATGAAGGGTTAACTCATGGTCCAATGAGTGGATCTGCTGCTATGGAAGGGAGAGCCCCTCACAACAACCTAAGATGACATCAGATGAAGGACGCTCTCTGACGAACATCACATGGAAGTGGAATGAAGTGGATGATATGTTTATCGGCTACTGGAGTTGCAAGACTCGTCTCCTTTACAAAGTCTTGCACAGAGGGCATGTTCCACTTCCATGTGATGTGTTGGTCAGCGTGTATTTAAAACCTCACTTCTGAACTGTTCCCTCCTCCTCCCACGAGACTTCTTCGTCGTCCTGCAGGAGGCGACGCATTTGCCCTGTTCTTTGAAGCCAAGACAAAGAAGGCCCAGACGAAATGATTCCCTTTCCAGCTGCTATTGATATTGTCTTGACTGGGGTTTGACTGTTGTACACAATTTGTGGCAGGTCATTGTGCAGACCATGGTTTCCACATCGAAGGGGGTTTTGACTGTGTTGAGTGTGTTTATGAATATGTAGCTTGGCCAGCATGAAGTCTCCACTTGGAAGGATTGTGCGCATATAGCAGTTGTTTCCACCATGCTCCTTTGTTGTGCAACCGTGATGATCATGTAAATATGCTGATATGATATGTGCTGACATGATTGGTGGTGTTGACGACGATGTGCTTCCCTTCTTTAGGCCGGATGCTCAGAATCAGGGGCTACCTCAGGGGCTGCGCATGCGGCCTGGGGCCAACTTTCACCGCCCTTTGCAGGGTTTGGGTTCGATGTGTTTCATGTTCCTGGCAGGTCCACTGCTTGCAGGGCTGCGGCCGGTCGCCAGCAGCCTTGACACTGGAAGGAGCCCTCGCACATCCGGATGTCTCAGGCGATGGATGGGAGATGATGAACCCACGAGGCCTCAGAGGCCTTTCACCCACCCCCTGATGCTCACTGCAGCTCTCTGTAGCTGAAAAAAAAGAGAGTGCCTTGTCAAGGCAAGCAGCCGGAGGCCATTGGAATTCACACCAAGTCTAAGCATGCACAGCTGGAGGAAGTCGTCCTCCTGCTAGACCACCTCGTTTTGAGGGTTGGAGTGCAGAAGGGAATTCATGTTCAGGATCACCGAACTCTGGATTTATGGCATTTTATTGCCATCCCATCACAGATTTCCTCGCTCGTCAACGAACATCTTTCATCACTTCAGATCTCCCCGGGGTCCCCAGCGGCCAGGCACCAGCTTGCACCCCATGAGCGCCTTGTGCGTCACCGTGCCGGGCACCGCCAGTGCCTGGGAAGCGGCCGTGGCGCAGTGGGGAACGAAGAGCTTGAGGTGCCGCACCCGCCGTTTTGGGGGGTCCCGTGCGTGACTGGGCGGAGGGTGCCGAGCTCACAAGAGTTCGGGCGCTTTCAGGCGGTGGGCAGAGCTTTTCAATCACATAAGGCATAAGTTTTTGAGCTCCAATCCCTCCAAAGAAGGCACAAGTGAGAGGATGGCACCCCGCTGAGCAGTATTCGAGGTCGTCCTTTTGGGTCCATGCCGGTCATAAGAGCTGTACCGGACTGAGGACTGAGGACGTAAAACAAGTGAAGAGTCTCAACTTCGAAGGTATGTGAGGCACGCAATAGCTAATCAAGCGATATTGGAGTTGAAGAATTGGTTCAACTGGAGTTGAACAATGTTGAACAGTTTTTGTCCACACTAATTCTGCAAGGGTCTCCTCAAACAAGTCCGTTCAGCTGCAAGAGTATCATTCATTTCCAAGATGTTGAACGATCACTGTCTTGGGGTTCTATAAATCAACATTAAAACCTTGGTGACCTCCTCCCCATGATGATGGTGTTGCTTCAACTCATAACACCTCCAAGCGGGGGTGTACCCGTCAGAGAACCCTCCATTGTCCTAGTTGTTCAGATCCGCCTTCCCTCAACAGAGGTTTTCCTTGCAAACCAGAGTTTTGTTCTTCCTTTTTTCCTCAGTGTCCGGACCAATTGGTTTTGTTCCTGTAGCTAATTATATATCTAAGTCATGCGATTGGTTTGTCCTCCAAACCATACAATCCGTTGTTTTTTTGGGGCGACTCACGGGAGGATTGTTTTCACCATGGCGAGACACGAGGGAGGTACTTCAGCCAGCCATCGAGCTGGCCGAGGGCGGCTTCCCTGTCTCGCAGGGTGCAGCGCAGATCTGGCAGCAGAGTGAGGACTGGTGGAGACTCCAAATAAATAGCTTCATGGTCTGGCCAGAGGTTTGTCATTCGTTTTCGTGGTGGAAGGTCTTCTAATCGGTTCAGATCAAACTAGAGAGGTCCATGTTCAGTGCTCGAGTTTGGATTTATCTTGCTTGGGGATTGCTATATGATTATATGGCAACTGGTTGCTTTGTTGGTGGGGTCGGATCGACGAGTTTGTGCTTTACACACGTGCGTGGAATCAGATCCGAGCCTAGACAAAGTCGAAGCCTTGCCCTTCCCTGCTGGGCACTCCGCAGTTTTCACGGGGTGCTTGGTGCAGCTGATGTCAAGTGGGTCCCTGTTTGACAGGTGTTCATTGGCCCTCCCGCGGCTCCAACCATAGATTTTGGATCATGAATGCCACCTTAGACCATCTTAGACCCCAATCCTGGTCTTCTCATGGTCAGGCTGCCCCAGTCCTTCAGTCCAACTGCGAGTTCACTTCAGGAGCTGCTGGCACAGGCGGCCCGTGGGCGCCCTACACCGTACCTGCCGGGCGGGCGAGCGCCCAAGGCGGGCGAGATCTTCAGGCGAACGGAGGGGGGGGGCAGAGATGGAGCTGTGCACGTGGTGGGTTCTCGAACGTGCACAGAGCACGGGCCCTCCAATTTTCTTCTTATTGCACATCCCCAAGAAGCCCATGAGTACCTTATGAACACACTCGTTGTACACACGCACTCATACATGTCATACAGTCGTTCGGGTCGTTCGTGAGAGAGTCTTCAATGCTGGTGTTACGATGTGTTAGGTTGTAATTGCCCTGGCAGTCAAGCACTATAAAAAAACGGGTGTTTACGTGACCTGCACGGGAACTTCCCGTACTTCAATGTGGCAAGAAGATGTTAACAGATACTTTTTGGACTTCTAGTCATTGCACCAATACCACCGGCAAAGACTAAAAACCTTTCCGGCTGAGCTGCAATTACTGGCATGCTGGTTTCACATATCTAATCAAAGACGAAGACTCAATTGCGGGGCCATCCCTGTGCCACAGGGCGCTCTCCGGTGCATAGGACGACGCCCCCCCAAAACCACCGAGGCGGGTGCCGTTTCGCCGCTTCGCCGTTCGGCCCAGAAATCCAGACCTGGCGCAGACGATGCGCTTGCTGGGTGAGAAGGGCGCCAAGGCGCGGAGAAGCGCCACCTCGTCTGCATCGTCTGGTGACGTGTCCCCAAGCAGCACGAAAGACGGACAAGGAGGTGGTGACGTGGCATTCGGAGTCTGTATGCATATATATATATATTCTCTCACTGATCTCAAGTGAGGACTGTAGCAAAACTGTTGGGTTTCTATGGGTTTCTGCATTCTGATGCACGCCAGCCGTGGGCCCTCACCAGGGCCCAGCCAGGAGGGCTTCTACACAGGCGCCGTGGCTGAGGAGATTGTGAAAGCTTTGGCCGCCAGAGGTGCGCAGTAGTGTGCGCATGGATCGGACGCCAGATCGATTCAAGGAGTTAAGGCCCTTACCAGTAAATAGATGGTAGAAGATGTTCACAATTGGTGGTTCTCCATTTTTTGAGATGTCGGCCATTTGATTGACCATCATCATCCACTGTTACTGGTAATGGGGTGATATACCCAACGTAGAGTCTTTTTTTGACCAATCATCAATCCTCCTGCCGACCTTCACGGACCTTCTCTGGTTTTGCTTAGGGTGATGTTGATTTTCCCTGATGCAAGGTGGTGTGATGAGTGCCAAGGACCTCGCAGAGCACAGCTGCAGCTTTGTCGAGCCCATCAGCTGCTGGACAGCTTTGTGGTGAGAAGGTAGCGGGTAGAGTCCGGGTAGAGCCTGGGCAGGTGGGTTTTTGAAAGAGAGCCAAACCTGAAAAGTGAGCGGGAAGTGGTGCCCAACAGATCCTAACTAGCTGCTAACTAGCTGCTTCCCAGACATACGGATTCTAGGAGACCGATCTGATCTGGAAAGGGGACCCTCTGACCCACTTGGTGGTTGATTCCAGGCCCACCTGTCCCACCTGTTTTGTGGTTTGGGGTTTCCTGACCCACCTGTTGTTTCAGCTCTGTTTTCTGGGAGGGGTCCCAAATTCCAGAGGCCGACACATGGCGCCCCAGGATTTGAAGGAAGGGTTTTTGGAGCCGACCAGGAGTGTGGCTGCCAACACACCGAGGCAGCTGCTATCGTGGCCGCTTCCGGCTCTACGAGTGCCCGCCACCCACACAGGGCGTGACGGCTCCTGGTTGAGAGGAGGGCGAGGACCAGCAACCAACGCAGATGTGGTGAAAGGTCGAAGTGTCACCCGGTCCTGTATGTCCACTTGATGTGGGGTGCACACCAGGTAATGGAGCAGGGTCTGCTTGTTCTTGAAAGGTGCCTCGTTGTTGGTGAGGACCAGCCCTTGAGCCGGCATGCCTACTCTTCAAGTGATCCCACTGTGACCTCTCGAAGCCTCAAAGAGCGGTGCTCCCAGGGCAGTACGCAGTTTCTGGCATCTAAGGCAAATGGGTAAGCTCCAAGCATATGATCAAGAAACAGTACCACATTCTTTCTCATGATCCGATGCGTGTCCACCTTCTGCTTGTTCTGCTGGCCGCTCCGAGGCTCTTATGGCCTTGAACTTGCTGGAGCAGCTCCCTGCTCCGCCACGCCTGAGCTCGGAAGCGATCCACGCGCAAGCGGAGGTGAGGCGGAAGGAAGGAGGGGATGGAGATGGCTGGAGGTCAATGCCCCAAGCTACTGGAGCATGTTTTCACCTTAGTAGGTTGATCATGTCTAGTAGTCTATGAACTCTTCAGAAGATTCCCTGGTCAACCAGGGTCAACCAGGGTTTGACCCGCAACCAGATGACACATATACTTAACCATGCTCAACCACGACCCCCGAAGTAGTCTTGTGTGGAGATGTGTGCAGTGTAAGGTGTTTTGCGAGATGATGTCACATGCCACGTTTCTCATGAAGCGTCAAAGCAGCAGCATAGTTGAGGATGTTGCTGTGGGACCACACAAACCCGTCTTTCAAAACAGGACATCGCCCCAATGCTTATCATAGAAGATGCTGGAAACAATGTCCAAAGCTGTGCCGAGAAGTGGGTGGTTTGCTTTGACAGGTTTTTGCACAGCTAAGGCTAAGGGGAAAAGACTCGACCCTTAAATAGAAGATGGGCTTTGATCTCCCGGACTCTTTGTGGAAATCAGCTTCTCCACCCACTTTCTTCGCGGTCCTGTTGGTTGAAGTGAGGGTGTTGAACACATGGCAGAGACCTGTTGAACACATCACTTGGGCACCGTCCGGTCGACCAGCCGAAGCTCGAGTTCGGACGGCCCGTTGCAGCTCCAAACGGCAATGAACACGCCAAGGCAAACATGAAGGAGTTTCCACGAAGCCGTTGCTCTCATGCAGTTTGACCACATTCCTTCTGAGGTTTATCCCCATGCTGTTGATGGAAAACCAAAAAGACACAATCGTAACAGCCTTAACATCTAAGTGGTCCCGCTTCCCCAAAAGAGATCCTTGGCTGTGAGATGCTGTGAGGAACCAAACCTTCCCTTGCAATCGATGGGTTTGGTTGACATCCCATAGAGGACTCTGTGACCTTTGTGGGTGGTCCATCATTCCCCCTTTCTGTGATCCACTGAGCATAACAGCAGATCCAAAATCCCCGGTTTGGGACCCTTTCTGGCGCTTGGCGCTCTGCCTCCGCGATGCGCTTGGCGCTCAGGCCCTGCGCTTTGCCTTCGCTGACGCCTTGCAGTTCTGCGCCGACCCAGCGGGACGCTCCGTGAGCGGAGAGTTGTTGGACAAGGCGCCAGGGCGGCACCAGGGCGGCGCCGTTCGAAAGGTGGTTCCTGAAAGAGCCAGGGTGGCGGGGACGAATGGGACTGGTAGATGTTCGTGCACGATAGGGGATGGTTTAAGAGGTCACCATATTGAATCATCATATAGTGATATATAATACACACACATATGTATATTATGTATATATACATACATTATGTATATACACATACATTACATAGATGGAGTGTTTGGGTATGTCTCGGTGTTGAGAACCTCCCCCCTTAGAGATTTAATAAAGCACGGTTGAACATCTTCATTTTGGGGTGCTTGTTCGTGCTTATGAGTCAACAGTCTGCAGGGATGCAGGGATGAACTCCTCCAATTTGATGAAGTACCGCCCAGGAGCGGGCCGCCAAGCGTTGGAAGCAGATGCTTCTCGTTGGAATGTTTCTTTTTTTTTCTCGGGCGCGGAAGACCAGCGTGACTGGGCGTCGCCAGGCTAGACATGTTTCATTCATTTCTTTCCGCAGTGTTTTGCATTGATGCAAGGTTAGCTGGATAGTCTAGATTTTTGGCGTGGAGTGAACTTTTCAAGAGACCGCCTGGCTTTCCTCACTCTCTGCTTGACGTTAGGGTCATTCAAGATCACTTTTGGCCCTTTGGATTGTAGAAAAGCCATTTAGCAAGAGCAGTTCCCACAGCAGCCGGGGTGGCAATAGCACCAGAAAACGATAAGAAGCATGACACACAGGACATAACGATAGGTTGCGATTCAAAGATGATTGCTTGAAGTGTGTTGTACTTCTTGATGTGGAGCGGGACCTGAGCATTCATCCGCTGGCATGGTAGGAATGAGAGGTTTCCTTTGTTTCTCCTTCGCCTAGCCTGTGGGCATGGCACGATTGCAAAACCGATAACGGAATGCAATGCTATGCAACAAAATCCCCTCATATGAACGATGCCCCGTTCCCAGTTCTTCTTTCAGCGGCAGAACCTCGTCAGACAGTGGATACTGAAAGACAAGTTCGCATCCATGCAGCTTTGGGAGGGATCCATCGCAAACCCTGGAAGAAAGACGATCAGAGGGAAACTACATCCAATGTATTTACATGTATTTACAGTGGTTTCAGAGTAGATAGTAGATGGCACAATCCCCAATGTCGGTGGACCCCCATCTACAACGACCTGTAGGGGTAGCAGTGCCATCGAACCTTTGCATATCTATTTCTATATGTATATGTTGGGCCTGTCCTATTACCTGTAACAGTCCGTAAACAATTATTGCTGTTTTTGAATAAGGCCTCTAGTAACCACCATCATCCACTGTTACCGGTAATTAGGATAGACCCAGTATATATGTCGAACCCTGGGAATCCGAGACCATGTTGTTGGTCTTCAGGTGATCCGAAAAGCAATGTTTCCTTTACTTCGGGTGTTGCCCCCCCAAAAAGCTCGAACTGCACTTCTCGGGCATTGCCCCCTTCATGTCCCAAACCCTTGGGAACCGGGATTGGTCCAAGGAACAGAAACTCATAGCTGAATGTGTGTATTTTTGTAGAATCTTGATCAATAAACCCCGTGACGAAGAGATTTACACTCCATGTTTGGGGGAGGGTCACCTTTCGGAGTGCACTGAAGGAAGGGCTGCAGCCTTTCAGGTGATTTCGAGACGCGCCCCATGTCTCGTGTCCGGTTCTCTTCGCTTCACTTTGCAAGTTGCACCATTTAAATCATATCATGATATGTCCGAAAGACCACAAGGAATCGTATGCCCATCTGGTGTCCATCAAGTTCGAAAACATGACCTAGACCTAGACCTTACCTCCCCTACCCCTCCGGACCCTTGTTGGAGTTACGAAATTGTGCCCTGAAAGCTACCTGAGCGACCCGGGAATTGTCCAAGATTCTGCCATCCCAATTGATTTACATCTTGGGGCACCCTCTCGACCCGCGCGGGAAAATAAGCACGGTCCAAAATGGTCCTGGGCTCGAATCCCGGGCTGGTCGCGGCATGGTCCCGGCCAATGCCCTTGTTTTTTTTGTAGATTTTATCACGTTTTCTGTTGGTTTATGAGATTTTCAAAGGCTTTTCTGGCATTTTCCTAGGAATGCTCTAGGCTTTGTCTTTTTGGGTACCTGCTTTGGTGGTGCTGGGTTGGGTCTAAATTGGTGAACCTGGGAGGTACCCAAAAAGTCGACTTTTTGGGTGCCTGCTTTGGTGGTGAAGGGTTGGGTCTAAATTCTTGGGCAATGATCGGGGTTCATGCAAGAGCTGACGTCCGATGGTAAATCTGGGAGGTACCCAAAAAGTCGACTTTTTGGGTACCTGCTTTGGTCGTGCTGGGTTGGGTCTGCACTCTTAAGGCTAAGGCTAAGGCTTAAGGCTAAGGCTAACATAGAGCAAGGCTAGCGCTAAGGTTCTATCCCTTGGGGGTCGGATATCGTTGCCTTAGAGTTCAGACCCATCACCACCACAGCATCACCAAAGCAGGTACCCAAAAAGTCGACTTTTTGGGTACCGCCCAGATTTACCTTCGGACGTCATCGCTTGCATGAACCCCGTGATGCTGAAAAAGCAAGGGCATTGGCCGGGACCATGCCGTGACCAGCCCGGGATTCGAGCCCAGGACCATTTTGGACCGTGCTTATTTTCCCGCGCGGGTCGAGAGGGTGCCCCAAGATGTAAATCAATTGGGGATGGCAGATTCTTGGACAATCCAGGTCGCTTTCCTGGCGAAATTCGACCGGATTTCGTCACTCCAACAAGGGTCCGGAGGGATAGGGGAGGTAAGGTCTAAGGTCTAGGTCTAAGGCTAAGGACTAGGTCTAAGGCTAAGGACTAGGGCCTAAGGCTAAGGCTAAGGCTTAAGGCTAAGGCTAACATCGACAGTCACGCCTCACCCCACGGTGTGGGGTCGGCGGATTTTTGTAGAATCTTGATCAATAAACCCCGTTACGAAGAGATTTACACTCCATGTTTGGGGGAGGGTCACCTTTCGGAGTGCACTGAAGGAAGGGCTGCAGCCTTTCAGGTGATTTCGAGACGCGCCCCATGTCTCGTGTCCGGTTCTCTTCGCTTCACTTTGAAGGATCAGTCCTGGGCGGGTTTTCTACAAGTTGCACCATTTAAATCATATCATGATATGTCCGAAAGACCACAAGGAATCGTATGCCCATCAGGTGTCCATCAAGTTCGAAAACATGTGCTGCACTCTTTGTAGATAGATGTAAGCACGCACCCAAAAGCAATACCTGCAACCTTCAGAAACTAATCCAAGGCCCGCCTAGCTCTGTCATATATGGATAAATTCCCGCGCAAAAATCTTGAGGGGGGTGGATGATAAGACGTTGTGCAACATCACTTGGAAAAATTGTAGGATTAACTAGCTTAATTAGGGAGTGGATTAATTGCAAAGGGGGCAGGGAAGGATGGGAAGAACTTAACTACCAGTGGATTAATTGTATTATTCTTTATTTGTGTGTTCGTGCTGATTGAATGTTGCTTGTTCTTTTGTTGCTTGTGATCTTGTTAACACTCTAACCCTTCTGATTAATCATGCTTGTATTTCTTAAGTCTGAACTGAGACCTCGAGCAGGTATGATGAGGTAACCCAGATTCAACAACGGGGTAGGGGGTAGATGACCTTCCTCTCAGGCAGCAGGCATCAAAAGCAGACCTCAACAGATTTCCCTTGTCCTTCCAGGTTCGACCCCAATGCGCGTGCTGCTGCGGTGGCCCCCGATGGCGAGGGCGTCCGGATGGGCCCAGATACTGTCCACGGCCTAGATTGAGATCAGGAAATCCAGATTTCCTTCTCTTTTTTCGCGTATAAAGATCTCTGCAACCTACTGTAATTAGTGTGTTGCGTTTCAATAATAACTCGGTTCGGTACTTCCACCACAAGCATGTGCGTTTGCCTTTGGTTCGCCAAAAGTTTAGCTCAATAGGTTTCATTTACATTCACTGGCCCGGCAAGGCTTGCTACGCGGGGACGGCTCTCCCGGTAGTTGGTCTTTCAGAGAGGCTGAACACGGTTGACCGTGTTTTTTCGATATAGGATGTTCACCGATGTTAATGGTTGTTGTGAAAATCCCTGAAGAAGAACTTGGTTCGAATCCAAGATTTGGTGGCTGAGATCCTTCGAAGCTTGAATGTCAAAAAGGATCTGACTTGCAAAAGCTTGGGACCGCACCACTGGGTTCTGGCCAGACCGCACCACTGTCACTGCTGCACTTGAAGCTGACGGAGGCCCCGCAGGCTCAAGCGAGATGCTATTAGTTGGCGCCATGATGGACGGCATTGCGGCAGAAGGAAAGGAGGAAAAGTGAGGGAAGAGCATCAGAAGTATGCTTCTTGGATTTTCTTGGATGTGATATTTTTGGGGGACGAGAAAGAAACGAGAGTTCGGAGCGCTGGTTGCTACATCCCATCCCAAAATGACACACTCACACCCACCAGGATGGTACCAGGTCCACTAGTCACGCTGAAAAAAAAGGGTGCTTCCAATCTCTTCCAATCGCTTCAGGAGTTTATCCAGGAAAGCTGGTTCGCAAGGAGGCTCCCGGCATCGCTACTAGGAGCAAGGACGCTACTAGGGCGCTCCTGGCCATACTACTAGGAACACGAAGCTACTAGGGGCTCCTGGCATCGCTGCGAACGGAGCAAGGCCCCGTAGGAGTCCCAATCTGGGTACCATCCTCCGCTCCCTCCGCTCGATCGGGGCCCATGGCGGATGATGCCTCGCGCGACGCCGCGCGTGGGATGCCCTTCCTGGATGTGGAGCTGCCCACGAACCTGGCAGCAGGGGAGGCGGAAAAGCGACGGAGAAACGTCAAAGCGATGCTTCTTGGTGGCATCGGACTGGGCCCCTTTGATGTGGTATGAATTCTGGTGGAGATGAGGCGAAACGAAGCGTGGGAACTGGGATGGCCCTGACTTAGGACGGGGCAGGCGTAGCGTAGCACTGCGTTCTGCAGGGTTGCGCTTTCTGAAGTTCATGATGGAAGTGCCCGTTGGTCCATGAATTGCGGATGACTATCAATTTCTCCCATCAGAACGTGAGGCGGACCTGCTTAACCTAACCAGTTCGACTGCTTAAGCTGCCTTCAAGGCTCAACTGTTTATACAGATGATAAGGCCACCCAGGAGTGTGTTGAATCCAGAGCTACTGGTGAAGGGACAGGACCAAACACTGCCAAATACCTGGATTCTCCTTCCTTTTTGCTTTGCTATGCTGCCCTCAAGTGCAATACGACCATGGAAACCACCTCCATAGGATTCCATAGGGATGTGAATCGGATGAAGACGAGTCTCCGAACGGCTCGTGAATAAGACGAGGGGCACAAGGTAAACAGGATATAGAATCATTAAGATTGACCAATCACGGAGAGTTCCAGTGAACCCGAAGACAGAGACCAACCAGGTGTTTTGAGCAAGATGACTCAAGCAGGTTTGCCTTTCAGCTCTTCATCTCCCTCGCCTGGGGTATGGCCATGGGCCCTGTCTTCGATAAGCCGCCTGGCCGATTCGACGGATTGGCGGGGCCCCCAGAACAGCGGCGGCCAGCGGGTTTTGGCGGGGGAGGTCTTGGTTGGAAGCACCGGGCAAAGGCTCATATAGAATCGTGCAGGTTCTTGCTGTGAAGGGTTTTTCCTAGCCTTTCAGTGCTGAGAGGTTTGACCAGCCAGTGATGGGACTTTGTGACCCAAGACCGGACGACTTGGACGTGGTTGGTGTTATAACCAGAGAGGATGAGAGGGAGGCCAAGAAAGGGGCATAGGCACCGGAACCCGGCACTTTGGTGCTGGCAGAATTTGCTACATGTGTGTCATTGTACAGAATCATACAGAATCAGAGACCTGAGGTATTTATTCCTTTTGGGCTCGGGCCTTGCTCGTGGCCCCACACTCTTCCCAGTGGCATGGCCAGGAGGGGGGTCAGGTCAGGCCGTTTCTCTGCGCGCGAGAGCCGCCGACGACGTCATGGATATGGGGATTGGTCACAACCTGGAGCCCTGGTCATCCCTGGTCCACCATCTGCTAGGAACAAGGGCATCGCTACCAAAAGTAACAGGGGCACTACTACATACTACTACTAGTAGCCAGAAGCTACCAGTAAGTACTAGTAGCGATGCGCTTGTTATTTAGCCTGACTCCCAGGTAGGTCAACAAAGGAATTCTGGTTTGGTCAAAACCTGGAGCGCTACTTCCAGGTAGGTCAACCGGTCGGTATCCTGGTGCCATGACCCAAGGCATCCCACAGCCATATGACAGAAATTTGGCTTTCCCGAGTCAGGATGCAGACCCGGTCTGTCCAAACAAGGCTTCATAGATCTTCATCAGCGCGCAGGGTAATGGTGGCAGGTGCATGTTCAACAGGACCATAGGGCCACCGAGAAACACATGTGCATTGTTAGCCATGCCCCTACCCCCCTCGTCAATAGGGCGGTTTGTGGGCGTTTAGCTCTCATCGCGCGAAACACTTGTTCCCCAAGTTCGCCGCCGAACCTTGAAACTTCAGTTCTTACCAATGAGCCCCTCATGAAACACTAAGACGCTGCCCACCCACCAACAGCGGGGGGTTCATGGCTAGCCATGTGTGTGTTGTTTTCATGTTTTCACACCGTGGGTCTTGAATCAAGAAGGGGTGAACCTAGCGCCAAAGTATCCAAGTTTCATCATCGAACATCGCCACATCGAATCTGGCGGATTCTGTTCGCATTTCTCGGCGTCTGGTGGGCTTCTTTGTGTTCATTGATCACAGACACTCCATGGGACTGCCATGTATGCCATATCTATATGATCATATAAATGCCTACATTGACCCCCAAAACCACCCCAATGTAGGCAAATATGGCAGTCCCATGGAGTGTTTGGGTATTGAAACATCTTTACCAAATTGGATTCACGGGCTGCGTCTCCAGGTGAACCGAGCCAACTCCTTGGTGGGGGTGGCCGAGAGCGTGTCGGGCATCACGAGCCTGGTGGTGCCTTGGGCTTGAAAGATGCTTGGTTCATTTGGTATGCAGATGTATGGTTCACAGTATGGTAGGTAGGTAGGCAAGGAGGTAGGTACTAGTAGGTAGGTAGGTTGGCCAAAACATACCTATCTAGTCTTACTGGTGCTGCCTTGGGCTTCTCCGAAACTCGAGAAGCTCAAATCCCACGGTCCATTTCTAGGCCAACTCCTATTATATAGATTTTTTCACCGCTTGGGAACTGACCATCATTGAGCCACTTTTGGCCCACTGATGCACACATGTATTCGCAGGGGGTGGGGTTCTGGGGGCCGGGGTAAAGCACTGATAGGGGACGAAAAAGATGGAACAAGCCAAGGGGCCTCCTGGCCTTACTAGGAGCAAGGGGTGCTACTAGGGGCTCCTGGCATCGCTACCAGTTACTAGTAGCAAGAAGCTACCTCGTAACAAAGCCAATGCCTGATCTTCCCACCGGGCGGAGGATCCGCGCTTCGCCACGCGCTTCACCAGGTGGCGATCCCCGTGGGTTTGTTGGTGGATCGCCGTGCCGAGCGCCGGGCGAAGCTGCTGCGCTGGTCCTCGGGCTTGGCGGTCATGGCCTTGCTCTTCGGCCTGGCGGCAGCTTGGCGGGTCGTTGGCGAGTCCGGGCGAAGGGGGTGGGGACGGTGGCGATTTGGAGCTCGCATGACCCTAGGAATTCCAGTCGTACCTTCTTCAGAAGGTACGACTGGACCCGACCCTGGCACCTACATCAATCACCGTACCTCAGAGGGCATGTGGATTTGTAGGGTGACGAGGTGTTGGTTCAAGAACCTGACATTGGAGAATCTGGAACTCTGAGAAGGTCTGGTTGTCTAGTTGGTGCAGATGTCTTGTTGCAGATGCCCCATCTGCAGACTGGGCACCAATGACCTTGTCCGGGGATGACGAAGAAAGTTGACACCACCAACCGGCAGTGGTAGCCATTTGAAACCTGGCAGCAGGAGAAGGAGGATGGTATATAATTAGTTGACGGATGTTGATGGTATTTCTTCGCAATCCTGCGCTTCTTGAGGCCATCTACTTCCATTCTCCGGCCTTAGAACCTTTAAGATTCTTTGTGCCATTCAAAGGGCCCCAGTGGGTGGATGAACTGCGCACCAGATCTCCTGTCCTCACCAGTTTGTGACCTACTGTAACTGGTTGAGACGAGGGCCTCTATCTAAACAAGACTTGATGAAAGAATGCTGTGCGGGGCCGTGACCTTCGGTCATCCATGCTTCTCCCAACCAACAGAGGCCATCTGCTGCGACACGTCCCGCACCATCCTGAGGTGCTGCTGACGGATGAGGTCGCTGTGCTGTTCGCCACTTGGTTGAAATTCCTCCGAAAGTACCTGGGGTGTTAAGATCACCCATATACGATCATATACGTAAAATCCTGTAGATCAACCCCCGCCGTCGGTATGAAGGGGGATGTGTTAAGACCAAACACGACATTGGGGTGCACCCCAAGCGCGTACGCCACGGAGTTGGGAGTTCGGAAGGGTTGAAAAAGACACCCCTGATGATGTTTATTCCTATGTTTTTATGTTACTGTATAACCCTAAGGCTCCTGGCCCACCTCCTGAGAAGGTGGTTGGGGTGGGTGCCAGGGGGGTCTAACCACCTTCTGAGGATATGGGACAGGAGCCCTAGGGTAGTGTTTACCTTCCAATCACCATCCAACTGAGTGGTGCTGGTTGTGCAGCAGTGAACCGCACCGATTCGTGCGGTTCTTCTCTCGACCCAACGAAGACCGTCCTCGTCTTCTCTTCCG